GTATTTTTAGTGGCCGTTTTTATTTGCAGCACAGTTTACATTCTATGTATGGTATTTTTTTATCATTCTAACGATATATCTAGGTTGATATTTGAGTTCATATTGTTGGATAGAAAGTATGAGAAATTTTGTCAAAATCAATTCCAGCTATATTCTCAAAATAATCGAGTTTGTCATAAACAATGATTAATCGATTATTATCATCAATTTTGTTTCCGCCCGCATTATTTTGATGGGATTGTTCGGGCCAATAAGCATATTTTTGAGCACAATCTGGTATGAAAAGTTATGGGAAATTCAATTGTTGGTAAAAATATCAATAAAGGTTGGTGAACGCAGTAAGTTATAGTGTATATTCTTCATCAGTCATACTATAATTAGATAACCATAAAGCATTATGAAGACAAAGGATGAACTCCAGCCATATGTAAAGTACTTATCTTGAGCTGTGAACTATGTCCATAACAGTGTCCATCAATACCTCTATTCAATAATGCACTTCCTTCTAGAGAAAAATGCCCCAAGGGGTCAATCTATTATGGCAATAATTCCAATATCTGCGGCGCAAAACCTGTAATATTCCCATACGGCGTGCCACAAATGATCGTGAATTTATCCTATCAGAGAAAATATTAATTCTATTATTGTACGCTAAATTGTACCCTTTCCAAATTGTAGTGGTATTGGTTTACCTCATTCACTGCGGCTTTGATCTAGAACACCCGGTGGCATCCCACAGCAATGAAAAACTCAGGTATTGTTGGATTCTACACACACTGGCACAATTAGGGGAACGGGCAAAATTTACACTAAGTTTGACATCAATTTTCTTTCGAACCGATCGCTCGATTCAAATTTTTTTCTTCACGAAATGTAGCTTCATTCTTCACGAATACATCTGAGAAATAACCACCTCCAAACGATTCGTCTTTATATCATATACAGGGGTGTAAAGAAAGTACGGATTTTTCGGTATTTTTTTAGACATCCTGTGGACTGAACCACTGATAATTGAAACGATTTCTCAACACCAAATTGGAGCCCAATCTATTCCGAATATTTTCGTTTTTTATCCATCTTGATTCACCTCAAAACTCAAATTTGATCTGAAAATGTGTCGTTTCTTGACTAACCTAACCTAACCATGACTAAACCTCTGCCATAGGAGACAGAAGCAGTAAAATCAAATTGTTCATTTTGTTCACCTGGGCGATATAGTCTTTCCCTGCCATCTATTGAATTGGTGCAGATGCGGCTCTCATATGTCAAAAGAACATTGGCCCACTGGTCATTTTCAATTAATGCTACAGCCCTCGCCACATCAGTAGGAGTCAAATCTCTCACGTTGAATTTTCATTAATCAAATTTATGAATTGTGAATCGCTTGACTTTGACAATAATTAATGACATTAACAAAATAGCCAACGTTGATCAACAAAAATAGCATTTCACCAAAAGAACATTGGAGCAACTTTCATCACCCCTGCATATTCATGAGAGTATTCGTATATGTGTCTTTAAACAGTAAACCGATAGGTAAAACTGTGAACAATTCTCATCTTGAAGTAAAAATCCTCACAGAAACAAGTTGAAAAACGACACGTTTTCCCTAGTTCGAGTTTCGAGGTGGTAAAATTGATACCAATATCCAGATCCACCTCTTCTTTGAAACTCTATATTTTCTTGGATAATTGGGATATCAAGATGAATAAAAAACGAAAATATTCGGGATAGATTGGGCTATAATTTGGTGTTGGAAAATCGTTTCAATTATCAGTGGTTCACTCCACAGGATGTCTTAAAGAATACCGAAAAATCCGTACTTTCTTTACACCCCTGTATATGATATAAAGACGAATCGTTTGGAGGTGGTTATTTCTCAGATGTATTCGTGAAGAATGAAGCTACAATTCATGAAAAACAAATTTGAATCGAGTGATCGGTTCGAGAGAAAATTGATGTCAAACTTAGTGTAAATTTTACCCGTTCCCCTAATTGTGCCAGTGTGTGTAGATACATCGTAAGGTCGAAAATGAAATATTCACAGATATCTTGCAATTGGAATTGTCCAAATAGTTATAGGTGCCCAATTTTTGTCCTCCCAACAATTAAAGTGAAAAAAAAGTATTTTCAAATTCTGGTGGATGCACTTATATTGTGTTCTGAATTCTTAATATAAAACAGAAGGACCTTCTTTGACGAATTATCAAGTAGAAGCCAATCTCAGAAAAAAATGTACGAACTTCTTAGGAAACACAACATGGCTGGATGTCCTCACGGGACAAGAGGCCAATAAATAATAAGAAGAAAAGAATGGCTGTATACACATTGAATTAAATATATACCTTGGTGGGAAGACATATGGAAAAATGATAGAAAATACCTTAAAAAATCAAATTTTCAAACTAATCAGTTATTCACCTTGATTTTCTCACAAAAAATTGGTTAAGACGATAGAAACAGAATGACTGTATATACCTACACATTGAATTACATACTTTGGTAGGGAAGCAATATAGAAAAAACGATTGAAAATACCTCAAAAAATCAATCATTTCTGCACCTAGATGTTTCCATAGAAAAATAGGTTAATAATTGGTGTGCATGAAATTGCCTGATTTCAAACGTTTCTAAGACTGAATGTATATATTTCACTCTTCAAAATAACTTGAATATCCTACAATTTGATTTTGGTGGAACACGTACTGAGTCCACTAAAATTACTAAATTTCGGGGTATAAATGTGGATCAAAAGTTCTCAATACCTATTGAATCTCTATGTTGACGGTTTACTAGTCTTGTTTACAGTCATTTGTCTTATAACATAGTTTTTGTGGGGAAATTCTATTAACAGTGAAAGAATCTTCACAACACAGAAAAGGATAATTTGTACTATGTTATAATTATCCCCAAGAGAGTCCTGTAGAGTCCACAAAATTCTCAACTTTCCATGCTAATATATTTCTCCAAATTTAAAACGAATTCACATTACCACAATTATCCTAATAGAAATGGTAATCTTCTGTACATCCCGAAACATGAAACTATGAAATTCAAACGACCCCTCACTTACCAGGGGATTATATTTGTCAACCACTTTCCTGAAATAGTTAGAGAGCTGAACAAAAATATCTTCAAAAGCCGAATGAAGTTTTTATTATCCTATACAAAGGCTATAGCATTGGGGAATTTATGTCAGACTGCGATTTAGAGTCTCTGATGTAATATTTTATATATAATATCACTATTTGTAATTTATGTATTTGTTTTTTGTATGTTCTATACAACCCGACTTGTCCTTTACATTCTGTGGATGTCTGAACGGATCAATAAAATATTTATTTATTATAAAAATAATGGCATTATACACATTGACTTACAAACCGTGGTAAGCAAGCAATTTGGAAAAATCGATTGAAAATACCTCAAAAAATAAGAATTTCAAACCAATCAATTCTTTACCTTGATTTTCCCATAGAAAAATAGGTCGAGATGATAGAAAAAGAGTATAATTTTCACCTGGCAGCAACTATTGAGTTCTGAGTTTTGGCCGTATTCTTATTGGATACCTACCCTGTTCAAATAAATATACAAAGGGAGTATCCAAAATATGAAATATGAGCGATAAATGAAATGGGCGATATATGACAAAAGAAACAAGATAAAGATGAAATGTTGTATAGAAGAACAATCATTCTGGCAGTTACTGGATCTCACATTTTGCCTGAAACTTTTGTGAATCATTCATGAGATTTTAACAACCGAACCCACAATCCAAAACATTGATACCCGTTGAACATCCAAAAAGAGAGTATATGAAAAATGAAAATCCTCTGAAATTGAGAATTGACATCATCTCTCAAATCGGATAAAATAATATGATGTATTATGATATGAAAATATAACTTACCAATATGTTCAGTATTGAAATGGAAATTGAAATGTATATGGGAAGTATACTTGTATGAACTCTGATCTTGATGAGCTTGGATCTCAGAAAAAAAATCATTCGTATCAGTGATCTGAGAATTATATCTCTCACAAACAGGTTATATCACTTCACTCGAATAAACTCATTTGTTCTCTGTTGAATATTCAGAATGATATTATGTGCATATTTTCATATGAAGGAGAATGCAAATTGTCTATACTTCAGAAGATTTTGTATTCAAATTCTTATCGTGTGTGTTCATTAGATGTAATTCAATGTTCGTCGGGGCATACCTATAGCCAGAGAAGTAGTTGTTTTCTGTTCAATAAACCGAGAAAGAATTGATATTTTCATCACATAGAGAATGCGAATTCTCAATGTATTTCTTCATATATATATCCATTTTTTTATGTTCAATACTTTCACCCTATCAAGGAATTCAAACTTGAACTATGGAAACTTGTTAGTTTTATAAACCTCAATCGCAGATTCGTGATTAGGTTTTCTCAATTCAGAATTTCTTTCAAACACCTGATATACTCATTTAGATGAGATTTGAAAAAATCTATAACATAATAGTTTGATTATTGATGGTGTTCCAAGTCACTTATGCTCGATCGTTCAATGTAAAGCTAATGGTTTTTAATAATTCAACTACCTATATTCTGTACTGAGGAGGCGATTATACTCCATCATTATCGCTATTGAAGTTGCAAGAGCAACATAAAAATGACAATATTTTTATAGGTCCAGCACACTTTCACATTTTCACTTCCCAGTATAACCAAAAAAAAAATGAAAATCATCGAATGAGAAGTCACGTTATAATAGAGTAATAAAGAAAAACGACACGCTGATTACCCTTGCAATTGTCAAAAACTCAAAAATTATTAAAATATCACGCACACTTGACCAGATAGGTAGAAGTAGAAGATTTGCCAAACAAGAACGATTTTGATTGGTTCATCTGAATACGGTATCTTCAGTGAAGAAGTGGGTTAGTTTCAGCAAGCGCCTGCATAACTACATAATGCATAGAGCCTCTTCTTCGCGACAGATAGTCTCAAGTCTCCGTACCAGTACCTAGACCGAGAAGTGCGCGAATTCTAACATTTGAAAGCGACGCGGAAATCTGAATATTTCCCATTTCGAAGAATCTCCAAAATGCGCGTGATAATCCTTGTAGGAGTACTGTGCGCGATACGGGCCGACAGCCAGTACTGGAACCACCCCCAGAAGATATTCCAGGGTTGGTTCAGGCAACCACGAATGAGCATGACCACGAAAGTACCAAGCCTCAGCACGAAACCCATCGCGGACACCACCACAGTACTCACTACGAAAATCGACAGTACGACCGTAACCCCTGCCAAACTACCCTCGACTTTATCTACCTTGACTGATACCACCCCGTCATCGACTTCGAGAAGATTCACTGGGGCTGGGACGACTAGCAGTATTGGTACAACTGGTACTACGGAAGCCAGTACCTTCGAAACGACGAATTATGACGTCACTGGTACTACCGAGGAGCCCAGGGATAACAGCAGGACGCACGATTTCTATCTGAGCAAACGTGAGAAGCCGCAAATCAAAATCTCCACCAATATAAGCCAGGTTAGTGGATAGATTGATTCATATTATTTTTCCTGAAAATGATTAGGAATTTTCTTTATTACTTCGGTTATTACTTCCAGCAGTAAAAAGATATTTAATAGTTCCATCATGAAAAATTAGTGTTAGTACTCAGTGGATAGTCGTATTTATATTTATGAACAAGTGATTATTGACTTCCGGATATTTATCGCTCCTGATGGGTTGTCGAGTAATCTTTTGATACTAAAATTTCAGATAGTCTTTTTTTGAGAAATACATTAATACTGGAATCAGAGTAGGAATAGGTTCCCATACTTACGCATTCATTTTTTTAGTATGTGAATAAAAGATTAAATATCATGAACGACTACTGAAAATCATCATGGTGTTGATTTTTGGGAAATAAACCAGGACTAAATAAATAAATCATGAAATCGAGTGAAAGAAATTCATCAGTTTTGAAAAAATGTGAACTTTACTGCAAATATGAGAGTGATTGGTATTCTGAGGATGACACTCAAAGGATATTGACTCTTTGCCCTACCATTGAGTTTATTCTGGTTGTATTTTTTTGACTATCCTGAAGGGTCCATTAGACTATTGGCGACCATATTTAGACCCAATATATTTTTTTTTATTGATGGGTTCAGGATAATCTGGAATTTATTATAAATTGGACATTTCCCAAGTTGTGCTATCTCGTTAGATATTTCATTAGTTTTCCAACCAATTGATCATGATTGGAAATTATTTTCAAGTGATACACATGGTGGTCCGAAATTGTCTCAAGATATTTCTTTGGGGTTAATAAATTTTAATTTGATTTTTTATCGAGTTCATATTTCATAGCTTTATTTTGGTGTAAAAGGGTCATTAATAAAATGTGATTGCACGACTCGTTGCAAAAAAAGAGTAGGTTAGGTTCATGCAAGATAAGAAAGTTAGGGGTTAAATAATACTGTAAAATACTGACATCTATCCCTTATTAATAATACATTTTGAGCGTTATTGCAGAAAATTTGATATTTTTGATTTCCCTCCGATAGGGTAATATAAATCCCTTATCATCAATTTTCCATTTCATGGATAATGGTAACCTTGTTTTTGGATCTACTATCAGCCTCAAAAATATCAGGAGACACTCGCGTATATAGGCAAAATTCGATTTTTGACTTTTCTCGTAATTCTCATATTCAAGTCCGATTTTCAATTAATGGTTCTGAATAAGAAGCTACAGAAATGATAAAATAGTCAGAATCAATGAGATGAACGTATCTATAGAAATAACTGAGTATTGCGAAAAGTGCAGTCCATATATAGGTACGTCAAAACTCAAATCTCTGCTTTCAAAAATGATTGAAATACAGGGGTGTCTTCATCTCAAGGTGTCACACTGTATGTTTGAATGACCATATATTTTAATCCAGTGCCGCATCAATTTTATTACGTCAATGTCAATACATCATGAACATCTCAAAACAAATGCAAACAATCATAAGTGTCAACATTTTTCTTCATTTATATAATAAATGTGAAGAAGAGAGAGTTTCCAGGTACCTATTGAGATATAAATATTATATAATCTTCTTGTTCCATTAGTTATTGATTAGGTATACTTCGTAGTTCAACGTATATCTTGAAATGTTAATATTGAACGAAAAACATCGAAAATTGTCTGATGTGGAACATTTGATTTGATCGCATCTATATAGCAATCAATACGCTTAAAAGAAAACGGTACTGATAAATTACACAAAAATTTTGCAGTTCCCACGTGACAAATAATAATAACGTAGATAATTTCCGTACTTCAAGCCTCTCAAGTCAGTCGAGTTCAAGTATTCTAATGACTGTTTTCAAGCCATATAAATCATTTTGGATTTTCAGATCAGCGGTTTGCGATGGTTTCAGTTTATCTTGTATGCATATCTGATGCTATGCAAAATTCAGTTAGTTCCAGTCATGCATATGAATAGAGATTGTTCATTTGAATTTAATGCATGGTAATTGGATCACAAAATTACTTACCAGATTCCACTTCTATATATACAAATCAATTCAATTGCTGGCGCCCCTTTTGGTTGTATACAAGCTTGTGTGTACTTAGTACATTTCATCTGATGATCATCTCCTCTGAACTATGAGTGTTCACCGCACTTCAGAAAATGAATGCAATATTGTGTGTTAATTTGAGAAGAAGATTTCAAAAATTAGTCAGACCTTTCTAGGATACGGAAGCCACTACAACTGGAATATTTTAAATTGGAACCCTCTACTGTAGAAGCTTGAATAAAAGCCATTTATGTTTATTCTTCGTATCCTATATACAGGGTGTCCCGTAAAGACCACGTCAAACCAAGGGAGAATGTAGGATAAAACACCTGCAAATGACTAAATTCCCATTGTAAAAGTCTTATCGTTTTCGAGATTTTTTTTTTCAAATATCCACTACCAAAATTTTCAATGAAAATATTTCTCACGGCCCCCCTTTACAATGTTCGGAGAATATGTTTTGAATGTATACGTTAAAATCATTCTTCAGCAATATTTACTGAAAAAATTAACCAAAATGGTGTAAAATTGTACCAACCGTACAGACGAAACTATTGAAACGGGCAAAAATTCAATATTAAAAAAAAAATTTCGAAAACGGTTAGACTTTTATAATGGGAATTTTGTCCTAGCAGGTGGGTTATCCTTTGATCTCCCTAGGTTTGAAGTGGTCTTTACGGGATACCCTGTTCATAGAACGGGTTGGAGCAACTTTTGATGTCATATTGTTGTTGTTCATTGTACATTTCTGAATAATCAAAATCAACCTGTATATATGTATCGGTTAATTTTTCATCTTGGTCAATATTGAAGGCTGTTTTCTTTCAAGAATATCACCCAGTATTCAAGGAGATTATAATTATATATTATTATTATAATGCTAATCCAAAGTTGGGAAACAACTCCCCAACAGTTGGAATTTGGGTGCTAATATATATGTATATCTCCATTTCTGTCGATAGAACGAAAGAAGTTATCAACATCACACAATGTCATAATTTTCAAGAACCAACATAATCATTTATTAGACTGAGCTTCTGTTAATAGTTTTCAACATATATATATACACCGGTCACTAAGACAGTAGGAAAAAATGTATCGCTATGCATTTCTTCTTGGATTCATCTCTATAGCTGCTCTTATGTTTACATGGAATAATATAAATTGGATGGTGGCATGACTTCATTTATTTTCCTCGATCTTTCTTGGCATCTACCTAACACATGGGTATTACTCGGAAACGAAGTAGATTCCGCTAACACTAATCAGTAATAAACAATCACAAACATCATTCTCTTCACCTTTCTAAGTACACATATCGTCTAGCACATGTACATTTAGGTTCATATAATACCCTGAAAACGAGTATGAGAATTAGTGTTGAAACACTCTCCTCGTAAGAGTACCTGTCGTGTTTCCATGGTATTATTAATCGATCAGACCTAAGCAAATATTTAACGAATTCTTTGTATCTAGCGAGGTACCTAGATACCTACTCTTCTTGAATATCGTTAGATTGTAATTTTTTAGGAAGGCATTCATAGCTAGATGATTCCTAAGTGGGAATTTTTGATGTTCGAAAATTACTTGTGCCTTAACGTTTGGCGTAGGTGTGTAAGGGGCGAATTCGAATCGAATTATGATGAAGAATGTATCGTAGAAGGTTATGATTCGAAAAAGAAATCGAATCATCCTATGATTGATGATATTTCTTATTGAAGAACATCAACCAACAAAAGAAGTAGAGTCAAAGTCTGAAGGATTAGCGGAATAGACGTGTATTTATGTACTTCTTCTGTAGTAATGGTACAGTACGAACGAGGTTCACAAGATGAATATGCTTCGCAGCTTATAAAACGGGGCGAACAAGAAAATCATTTTGTTCAAATTGATCTATGCGCCTTTGTCAAGTTGTGGGTGTTTAGCAATTTGTCTTGATACATGCTTTATGGGACAATCCAATTTTCAGACTTGATTTACTGAAATAGCCTTATCCATTCTAGAACATAATACAGGTATACCTACTCCATCAATTTAATATAGTAAACTTGCGTTTAGATGATTTGAGGACCTATATATACAAATTGGATATGTTGCAACTGTTTTATTTTCAATTCAGAGGATATGTATATGGAGTTCTGAATGAAAGAAGATAATTTGAAGTGTGAATATCTTTTCATTGAGACTACAGTAAATATAATACATCCAATACTTCCCACAATACCTCATGAAACATGTAATTCGACTATCAACTCCTACAATCAAACAGGAATTATTTCATGAAGTAGACATCAGATGTCTATATAACCGAGTCTATATACCTATCAAGACTGGCCATCCATGAATTAACAAGAGATGATCACAATCATATCTGACGAGTACAAACTTCTGCTCTTTAATTCACACCCACTGTGCCATTCTAAACGGTATTTCAATTGGCTACTAATACGCAATGCAACCAAAGGTGTAGTTATGTGGGAATAGGAGGTCAACAGCTAAAGATGAATCTGTGGCGCCATTTTAAGGGACAGAATCCCTACAAGACATCAGTCTGGAAAATGGAACAAAATGATTCCTATTCTGGAAAAGCATTTCTGGACAGAGACAATGAGCTCAAAATTTAGAGCAACTATCACCTAATAATTTTTGATAAAATCAACAGACTGGCATGCAGCATTTCTATAAAGACAAACTGTATGATAAGTACTACAATAATTGCAATACTAGAAGAGTCATGAGGTGAAGCCATATAGTAAACACCAATGATAGAGCAAGATACACTTCCTTTATCACCAGCTATGGCATATAGTTATTTTGAGAGACCCACGAAGTGTAAGTTCGAATGACTATAACCAAGAGAATTGGTGTGTTCAGGCTGATTGTAACTGACATACGACATGCTTGAATGAAAACATAGTTAGTGCTGTATTTTATGAGACTTACTTCCATATAATGGAATGAAAATATCC